TTATCCTACGAAACCAAACCTTCGGTGCCCTGTTGGGGATCCATTATGAATATTTAAACGAAATCTATCAGCTATTGCGAAATAAATGTGCAGTATCCACGGCATACCAACCTGTAATCAGTAGTTTGCAAACACTAAAGGAAGTGCTATATTGATAGCCCAGAAACCAACTAAAATCTAAAACAAGACTGCGTCTTCTTGAAAGGTTTCTGCCCTCAAAACAGCATCTACTACAGACCGAAAAAAGAAATGCAAGCGCCAAGCAATTATTTTTAGTCGTGAATAAGTAAATATTGCGGTAAACTGACCATTAGCATCGCGTGGGATATCTGTCCAGATTCATCCATGAATGGGTTTCCAATCCAATCCTTCAAAAGAAATACAGGCAATGAGAGCTTGTTTATGTAGCCAAAAACGAAATCAATGCTGGCAAATTGGTTCTGGTATCCAGTAGTTCTAAAATGAGTACTTTGACTACTGTGTGGTTGGCAACGAGGGCGATATATACGGTTCATGTCTTGGGACATACTAGACCTGGATAAACTAAGGGAATGGCTCGCAATCTGCAGATATTTTTTGCATCTGACGCTGAATAGGGTAACAGAAAACCGAAATGTCAAATATTCATGTCTATCTCCTGCACTAATAGAGAATAATTTTGGTCAATATCGACGATGATAAGACTGCAGTTTTTCTCCGAAATTTTAAGTCAACTATGATGAGTAGACTGGAGTGTCGAATTCGCGCATCGTCAATAAATACTCATATTTCAAATCAGCCTTTGTAGGTTAAAGTTACTAGAAAGTATTATGGCCTTGATTTAAAACTAAAGGTAGCAAAGAAAGCCTAAACCACATGAACAGGCCATCAGTTTACGTACTCTTAATAAACTTAGAAGCTGCAATAACTGTTCTGCATATAAACTGCAAATGGCTCTGCTACTGCGTTTGAGGAAGAAGCAGAAACTTCGAGCAAATAAGAACCATATTCCAGTAATCGCATTTTCTTCTTTTTCTGAATCCATTAACTTTTAACACCTATCACAGCGCAAGCCCCCTTGTATCCACCATTTCTATGTTTAATTCCCCCATAAGGCGATATTCTAGCAACTTGAAATTCCCAACATGTTTTTTCCATATGCATGCTTTGTATAAAATTTACTTCACCCTACTCCTTGTCAAAGCAATCGAATTGGGAAGATGTGATTACCCAAAACAAGATGGTTAACTTATCAGGAGATTCCCGCCTGGCGGAGTTAGCAAGCGCATGTTGAAAAACCTCAGTTTAGTCACTGTCTGCACGTGCATCTGCAAAAACTGTCAGGGCTACGCATCAGAAGGCGAACATGCTCTTTTAACCTTTTGGGCGACGGCGAAAATACGCTAAGCGTTCGTAAAACGTCTGGAAAAAGCTTATAGACTATCGGAAAGAAACCTACATTAAAAGATAAGGAGGCGAATACGCATTCCTACCTATCTTGGCAACTTACAAAACTCAGAG